TTATAGAGTTACAGTTGAAATCACTTTCAGGTACTCAGACAGATGAAAATAGCACCTAAGAACAATGACTGCCCTACTTGTTATATTTTGATCACCACAGTCCCTTAGAGTGCATTCCCTTAGATTTAGATCGATCCATCTAGATCGACCCAACTCCCTGGGGATTCACGCTAAATTGCTGTCAGCCGAGCACACACAGTAGTTAATTACCCCCTTACAGCTTTTAGTAGGCGAGACAGACATTTAAGCCGGCTAAGCTGACAGTAATCTAGTGAGACCCCCCACAGGGATAGACAGATCTAAAATCTGTGGAAATGGGGTCTTAGTATATGCCAGATATGATGCATTGATACATTAAAAAGTAAATGAACGAAAAACCTCAAATGACATATTACATGATACATATCAGATTTACCAAGGACACATCATGAAGCAGGATGGCATAGAGAAAAGTGCCCTGGAAAGTTTCATTCCTGGCTAAAGACAGAGGGGAAGGCCAAGGTGTAGCTGAGATCAAATGGTGAAAGAAATATTTGGCTCCTTGGAAAATGCAAAGAGGACGGCCTAAAACAGATGTTTATTGGTCTGCTATCAGACAAGCAAAGCTCTACCAAGAGTTTGCTATTGATTGATTGATTACAGATCTGGAAGCTTAAATTGTTATAAGGGCAGGAGGGGTGGGGGGTGGGCACTCAAATAAACTCCCAATAAGCTCTTGGGAACATAGAGAATGCAAAATCCTCCAACAAAACCATACATGTTGAATAGCACTGCTATTATCCACATGCTTATCATTAGTAATTATGGATAAACAGAATGCTTTGTGGAAATTTGGGGTAAATTCTTGCTACCATTTAATACTGATGCACCAGGATTTAACAAAAGAGCAAAAAAAAAAAAAAAATAATAATAATAATAATAAAATAATAATAATAATAATAAAATAAGACTTAAAGTTAACTTTGAGTCTCGAACTTATAAGAACAAATTGATACCTAGATATGCTGTGACAGTGGCAATATACGCTACACTAGGTTCTAGGGGAGTTTTTTTTTGTTGAAATCCAATAGCTTTTTCTTGTATGTTTTATAAAACAATGCCACCCTTTCAGAACACTGAAAGCATTAACAAGAGGTATTCAAAGTATTGCATGATCTCATACATATAGTAAAGGTTTCATAGACATGAAGACACACACACAACAATAATTAAAATAATTAATGCAAGATCCTAACGTGCAAATAAGACAAACATTCGACTGTTATCTTATATCTATATACACTCCTTGTTTCTCTTCTAACTCTGTTAAAAAGATATGTTAACAGATGAAATGTGTTATATTGTTGTTGTAGAGATGGTATTTGAAATAGCAGACATGAGCCTAGGTTTCAAAAAACCTCTGAACATTTATCCCCCCCCCCCCCCCAGATTTTATTGCAGATCTTGATGAATCTCAGAAACCATCAGAATTGAATTAAAAAATGGAATTCTGTATTGGTGCAGAAAAAGCTCATCTATGAAATAGTATATTTTAAATATTCATCAATATTTTTTGCCAAAAACACTTCAGTTTTACACTTGGCTGTCTTCTGAAATGGCTTTCATTTGTTCAATGCATTCGCTGCCTGTGTACATTTTACTACCACTATGTGACTTTTTTGTTCACAATTTCCTGCTTAAAAAGCTTCAAATGCAGCTATAAATCTTCCTTATTCTTTGAGGCAGATATAGCCTGCTTCTCTTAAAAGATAATTCGTTTTACAATAATCTTGTTATTCATAGATATAATACACAGATCTGGGGTGGAGGTGGAAACAAACAGGTATACATTTTTTAAAAATAGGTATATATATGTTAAATGCATACATATTGTGTGCCGCACCTATAACTAGCCTTATGATTCCACTCACCTTCACTCTAATTCATCGAAATCCTTCATCAATTGGAAAAACCTAATTGAGAAGAATTAATGAGAAGTTTGGGGGTTGAAAATGTCTGCGTGAACATTTGTTCCTGGTATGTGGCTGTTTATTATACTTACATCTGAACTGGCTTGCTCCAGTATACAGAATACATCTAAATAGGTAATCATGTTGATTGATAATTGAAATTGTCAGAACAATGACATCATTCCACTGCTTTCATCCTTTATGGACCCCAACTTCTTCATAAAGCCAGTAAGCATTGCTTGGCCTTTTCTTCTTTAAATGGCATAAACAAAATATTTGTGTGGGCAAACCTGGCTCATGTAAAAAAAAACCCTTTGTAATGTAAATCAATGGTAACCCGTTTTTTTATTACGCAGGTGAACTTTTATTGACACAAAAGATGGTATTGTCAAAGAACTGCCTGTGTTCCAAGTTTTAAGTTACACAAACCACTTTTCATGTGTTAACCCCCTTTTTTTCACTCTACTGTGTACTTAATTGATCTTTTGAGTCTGAAAAAGGGATCAATGTGATATTTGGCTAGATCTAAATTAATTCTGTATGAATTAGAATGCACGTATATATATCATCTATACAAACTATTGGTTGACAGAACTTTCAATTACAAAAGTACAAATTCCTAGAAAGGCTGATAATTTATGAGTTAGAGAGTCAAGGTTTGGTTCTATTAAGTCATAAACAAAAAACATCTTATTCTTCTTTGTACTTGTGGCAAACCCTGGTGTCTCAGTATTTAATGGTGGCCACAACTAACCCTAAATTTCCACAAAGCATTCTGTTTATCTTTAATTGCTGATTATGAGCAACAGTCGTAAATATACACATTTCCTATAACCCTATAACCACAAGAACTGTGCAGCAGCTACATAATGAAAAATATTAGTCATAATATATTTGCAAAAGAAAAGGCTGATCATAAAAAAAAAAAAATTGATAAACTACATGTAGAACTTGATTAATATTTTTTGCTTCAAACAAGCTGCTCACCTATTCAAATATTAATTACAAAAGAAAAAGAAAGACAATTTTCTTTTTTCTCCCCCCTCCCAAACAAAGCAAAATATAAATATTATGCAAACTGCATTTTTTCTTATGCTTGTACACTGATGTAAGTACAAAAAGGAATCAATCAGTGGTGTTCTAACAAATGCATCAGTTGAGACACCACAATCAGGAACAGCAGCCATGGTGCACCTGACACAACTAGCACAATTGGCAAAAGGGTTTTAGTAGACAGCGCTGAAACACCTACAAACACATGCAAGTCAGCCATTTGTCTCTTACAGGTTATAACTATTGTGGGAATCTTACACTCTCTGCCAACTTATGGTAGCAAACAGGTTTGATTTTTGTCTTACCGTCTCTTCAAGTTCAGCTGATATGACTGGCTTTGCTGGAGTTAGTACCCACAACGGGGACGGATCCAGAGATATTTTCTGACAGTCTTCCTAATTTTCTTTGTTGATCCATCCTCCATTTTTGACCATCTTCCGACAGAAAAAAATTAGGTACCTATCAATGTAAACTTGAAAATGTGACTGTCTTCCGAAAGACCCAGAAGACGGCCTCAATCCACCCCTGCACAAATTGTTTTAAAGTATATACCAAGTGAAAACAAACTAATTGTGATTTTCGTATGGGGACTAGTCATCAAAGTTTTATGATAAGTTAGTACAAATGTAGCCATGTTCAGAAATGTTGATTGGACTGTCTTCTGTAATGTTACCTTGGTGTTAAACTAAGTTGCTAATTATGGACACCAGACTGATTAGATAATTAAAATTTTGAAGTAAAGACCTTGCCTGCACTGGAAGAAACAACAACTATAGTCCATTTTTCCACTTCTCACAATTTTCCAGTCTGACTATTTATAAAATATCTCTTCTTTAGGGGAATAAAAAATGCTGCAAATTTCCCCTTGCTTTGAAACAGGTTAATGTAATTACACCTTCCAGTAGAACTTTGATACTGCGCAAATCTAATGAGGCCAAGTTTCATATCTGAGTGAAAGAGAGAGTGCAGGCAAAAGCCGGATCTGCATAAGTTGAGGGTACACTTAAAATATTTAACTTAAATATAACTTTTGTTGGGAAAAATATATGTGTGTGTGTGCGTGTGTGTCTAGTGACACATGCCAAAACTTCACTGACCTAAGTGTGCTGTGAATGAAAAGTATGGCAAATCTGATATCAAACAAAAAATGGATTAATCTGCCATTCTCATATCAACAAATAAAGAAACAGGCAAAACAAGAAACAAGGCACTAAAAAGAATAAATAAATAAATAATAAATAAATCATTAATCAATGAATAAATGTTGAAACAAATAAAGTTATTTCAGTTTCGACCTCACATTAATTCTTTAACTAGCATTTACCTAAAAGTACTCCTACTATTTTACCAAAAATGAATTCAGTGTCTTCAATTAACTGATACTGTAATTGCTTTCTCAAATGTAAATTCAAAGTGGCTTATATAATTCTTCAGCCAAAAAATGACTTGTATAACCATGCACTTTCCTGTGATTCACTTTCTCAAAGAATGAACCAAAACAACTTAAAGCAATTATATTATGGTGAAATACATCCAAGCACCAGTGCTATTATGTTCAGCTGCTGACTGACAGAATTTGCCTAAAATGTGATACTCCCAATACTTTCAGTGCATTCCCCTAAAACTCTCTTATTTTGATCTAGCTACATTGTTTCTTCGCTCATCTGTCAGGGACTGACATGACCTTAACAACCACTGCCTGGCTTAATTACCTACCATCTGTATGCAATCACGGGGATATTTTAAACATGCTGCTTATGGATGCTGCCTTGCTCAACATAAGCCATCACCATATGTATGTTTAGGTAAAGAATAAGAAGAAGAAGACATTATAATATTTATCAGAAAGTGTGTGTGTGTGTGCACGTATGTGCATATATGCGCATGTGTGTGGTGCAGATTCAAAAAAACTTACATAATGTTCACCCTACACTATAACTTTACACATAGACTCCAGATTTAAATGGGTAAAAATCATATATGAAAAACAACACTTACATATTGATCTTTCCCTGTATCCATGGATATTCTCTTTTCCCTCTGTGACTTTTTTCTTTTCCAGAGTGGCATATCCCGCTTCTAAAATATTGGAATGCTTAATAGAAGTACTTTAATTATATTGACTGAGTATTTTGCAGATCAAAATCTCTTTAATAAAATCTAAAAAAAAAATAATAAAAAAAAATAAATAAAACATATCACGTCAGAAGCACAAACATAAGTTTCATAAATTCAAACATGACAACAAATGTGTGATAAATTTAAGTCCTGCATAAACTAGTGTAATATACTGATCAGCATGAATTTTCTACTGACATACATTATGCATATGTTCTTGACATTACATGATTAACAATATGTGGTTTACACTTGCCAACTAAAATTACAAGCAAAAAAATAATTAGTTCATTAAAAAATAAATAATAAATAAAATAATGTTTAATAAATTAATTAAAAACAAAATGTTAACATTTACAATCCAATTAAAACATATTTAATTCTCAATAGTAAATAAAAATAATCAATTAATATTATATAATAAAAAAGAAAATTCACTTATTTTATATTTCATATTTTACCTTCTGAAGCCCCAACCATCCAACATGATGGCATTATGAGTCACAGCTATCACAGTGTCACGTGCAGTTTACCTGTATTAACCTGTGAAACTGACAAGTAAAGGCGCGCCGCCACCTTTGAAACGTACAGGTAACATACACGTGGTATTCATTTCTCGTTCCGGGCAGCAGGGATCACTGAAAATATAAATCAAAGGCTTCCCTCGAGGGAACATTAAAGACTGCCCTCCAAAAATGTGGTACTGGTGTTTGAATAACTTCACAACGTCAAATTAAACCGATGTTTACCTGTTTTGCCTCACCTGGGTAGACGTGATGTACGTATACACGTATCACTCCGCGGTGCAGGTGCGCGCATTTTACCCAAATATTCCTAATTCATTCAAAGCTTGAATTAAGATCACAGAATGTCATTATCGTGATCAATTATTAGATTAGTGAAAGTAGCAGTAATAAGTTAATTATGAGCCTGAACACGGGCGTTTCACAATCAGGCCACCTTGCAGTCGCGGAACTTGCGGCTCCAACGTTTCACAGAAGTCATGGCCTCAAAATAGGTGAACTCCATGTTTTGATGGTTGCTTTGTGGAATTTATGAAACGATTTTTGATAGATGATGCTCAGTTTTGATATAAAAATCACAAAATTGTTCAAGTTTACCTACCGTTTTAACGTAAAACAGGAAGTGGAAAGGTGACCTCATTTAGCATGCGCGTCACTGCCCCATCACGAATATCAATTTCAATAGAAAACATGGCAGAAACAGCCAGGTGCGGCCGAAGAAAACAGCAGAATCCAAGAAAAAAGAATGGTATGACACTTTAAGATATTGTCTTATTTTGTTTTGTTTGTTATTTTTTGTTTTGTTAAAAAGTCTGGTGAGAATCCACTGTGTACTTTTCGAGAAAATCGTGAATTTGTTCACCGTTGTTTTGCACCTCTGGCCACCTACGGAATGTCAATGATGTCTCAAAACTAGAAGCAGTTGGCAGCGCGCCAGCTAATTATTCGCTGAATTGTAATGGGCGAACTTTGCTTTAACTGTTTCGCTTTGATCTTTGCTGACAATCAGTCATTTAATTCTCCGATTTTCCAAAGTTGACTGGAAGGTGCGACAGTCTAGGTAGCAAGGTAGGTAAAGCAGGAAGTACGACAGAAAATTGGATTTGCGTGTACAAAGATGGCGGACGGGGGAGTGTCGCTGAATTGAAATTGCGAAGCAGATCACGGACAACCTAGCGACCGAGGTGGATAAGAAGGAGAGGTTGACATTAAAAAAGTTGAAGTTTTGACTTATAACACCTGTTCATGCACACCTGTTCAGGTAATTTTTACCAGGTGTTTCCCAAAATATTCAGATAACATTAATAATGAAAAATTCATCAAATTCAATATGTCCAAATTATGAAAAAAATATATATATCAAAGAAAAAAATTGTAGTTGTTTCAAATGTATTCTGTGGGTTAATTATAAGCCTTTTTCTTACACATGTTGACAAGTTTTTGACACTGGCCTTGCAGTTGGAAAAATAGTGGCAACATCTTTTTATTCTTAACAACAAGCATTTTATCAAAAGTTAAAGGGAAAGATTTAGAATAAATGGCTTGTCAAATGGCCAGGAGCATATTTTTAGTTTTTAAGTACTTTTTGGTATTAATAATTTGGATCAAAATGAAGTTTTTGTCCACACAGCAAGATACTTAACAGGTGGTCAACAATGAAACAGTTTTTAAATTGCGCCCTTTTTTTGTACATTTTCCCCTATAACCAAAGCCTCCAATTAACCATACTAATAAATCTCTGGTGTATTTTTATGGCTTGACAAGATATTGAGAAATAATGTATCTTAGTGGTGCACATCTGCTCATGATTATTGTAAAATCAAAAGTGCAAAATGAATAATATCTCCTGGCTGACAAATTCTGAAGCTGCATACATTTGAATTAATCATCATTGATATCGTGTGTGAGATATCAGAAATAGACATATAAATTGTGGCCAGATGGCACAAAAGAATATTGGATTATAGATGCCAGCATATGATTATAGGCACTGCTATAAGCCTTAAACTGGTTCCTAAAAACCCCCTTGCACAGGGCTAGGCTTGGAATTTGTCACAAGATTTTCGGGTAATCCTCTTTTTATTGAATCATGTTGATGTATATGACAAGGTGCAATTTTAGTAAAATAAAATTATTTTTACGAAGGGTTTTTGTTTCATTATGTTTTCTTAATTGTTATCATATAATACAAATAAAACTTGGTGTGGCTTTACAAACAACCAAGAAAAAAAGGTGAACATATTTGAAAAGAGGACAAGTTTGAAAGAGATCTTCAATGTAAAACATTATAATAACTGTTAGTTACAGTTTTATTTTTTATGGTTTCTGATTTCGATTTTTTACTTCATCAGCAGTACCCTCAAATTTTCACATTTTTGTTCAGCAAATTGTATATTGTTTGTTAAATATTAGTGATTCCAAGGCCTTTTGTTTATAGCAAGAAGATCCTAAAAGCAGCATTTATCTTGCAAAATGTTAGAAAACATTTGTAGTTCTTTTATCAATTTATTGGGAGATTAACTCATTTATTTCGCCTTTATTTCTATATTTAATAATTTGCATTGACAACTATCATTGTTATTGACACGAAAAATAGTTTGTCACGAGAGATATGGAATATAAACCTCAGTTCAATAAATACAAGATTCAGGGCTTTAGTTATATATTTAATATATGACTTTAGTTTAAGGATTTTACATAATCCAACTTTATTTCTTTCTTTATATATTCATTTCTTATTTTATTTTATTTATTATTTATTAATATATTTTTTAATTTATAAAAAAGCAAGATACCTATTAGATCCCCATTTTTTTTTTTTTTTTTTTTG